TGTTTTATGGCTAGTCCATTATTACCCCATTCAGTTCCAGTTTGGCATTTAAGCACTTAGTTGGTTACCACAACATCATTTTACCACAAAAACAAACAAACAAACAAACAAGAACAAGTTAAACCTGGAGTGAAATTTCGGCACCATAACCGTTAATACCGTGGCGAGATATAAGTCTTTCTGGCCGGTACTGTAGCTGAAGTGTTTTTGTTGTTTTGTACCTGGTCCCACTATAATTTCGAATTTCGAAGAAAGCGCAGGAGAGAAAATTGATTTCAATCTTTTTTTTCTGTTAAGCCATTGGATCAATTTACTGAAGTTCTAAACCTTGAATTCATTCCTAGAGGAATTTACTTTCAACTTGTTAACATAGAAGTTGATTATTTTAGCCAATTACTTGTGTTTCATTTACTTGTTAGTAAATGACTTAACTTGTATACACTTCCTTGATTGCTTATTTTTTGGATTAGACCTTGACCTGGGATCAGAACAACGAAATTCCTCCACGATTTTTATGTTGTTAACCGATTTGTGCCTTACATTTCCATTTATCAGAATTGCGGGCTAAACTAATCTCACGTAAACGGTTTTGGGTTATCTTCTAAATAAACGATAAGCACTTCTTTTTAAACAAAACTTATTTTTCATATCTCTCACGAGCCCTGACTAGGGCAGAACAACCACACACACACACACAAACTTTCCATGGCAATTTCGACGTTGCTCATTTCTTTCCTGCCCGTGGGCAGAACACATTCGCGCGCACACGCAAAGACTGTCCATGGTAACTTCGCTTGTTATTGTCAGCGCCCTCTCTACGATATACTCTTTATGAGACTCATTGCGAGGTCACCCTTTGAATTTGTGACACTTTTACCATCGCATTTACATACAGCCCCTCAAACAAAAGTGAACACTGTAATTGATCTTTCCAAGTCCATCATTTTTCGTTTTCTCTCTTAATCAGAATGTTTTGATTTTGCACAAATCGTTCCGGTGTGAGAACCTCTCTTTCACTTTGTGATAAAGCCAGCAAAGCAAGGGAAGGCCAGATCGATATCTAGTATGAGTAGAGTACGTGCAGGGGGAAAAGCCCGTCTTACATCAACCTATAACACACAGCTAACTTGTCCATTGCGCAAATGATAAAATTAACAAATCGAATTAGTCCTTTGCTGGCCCAGTATTTTCCGAATATTGAACAAGCAAATGCTGCGAATTATCCCACGCGACCCCTCTTAAATGTTTTGTAATATTTTTGCAGGTTCTTTTGTCAAAGAGAGGAAATAATTTACCAATGAGAGATTCTTTCCCGTTCCTTCCGGCTTTCGTTTAACCCTTTAGCTCCTAAGATCTGATTGTTAATTCTCCCCTCTTGTTACTACACATTACCTTGTCAGCTTGAGAAGTTGTTGATAGTTCAAAATAAAATCTACCTGATTAGTTTGTGTATTCTTATTTCCTGTTTGTTGGATAATGTATGGATATTCTAGGGAGAAGTTACATGTTAATCACATTTGGGTGTTAAAGGGTTAATTCCATTTTTCCGAAACTTCCGATGAAATAAAGTAATACTAGGTAGGAGAGTTCTGTTAGGGTGGCTAGACACAGCGAAGAATTTGGTTTATCTTTCTGCTGGAGGAGTTTTTTGATACTGTGCAGAACTGAACCTGCAGCCGTAAAAGAGAAAAAAATTATCCTTTGAGGGGTGAGATAAAGAGCTCCCTGGTGTTGGTGCTTGCTGTCTTCACGACTATCCTCAACAAGAAAATTACACATGCAAAGGCCAAGTACCATGCATTATTATACTTGGAAGAACTAAAACACTGCCTGGAAATTTTATGCTCGAATATTATTTTTCCCCTGCAGATTTAAGCCAACTGATCTCGTGATTTGTACATGTACAGTTGCATTACATTATAAACTCACATGGGATATTTGAGGTGAATCGTTCTCTGTGTTTAGCCGAAACTTTCAATCACACAAATTTCACCACCAATCGTTTAACCCTTAAACCCCAAGGAGCGACTGGCATGTAATTTCTTATAAGATCATCCCTGGATAAAACATTAGGGTCGTGAGATTGAGGAAAATCATCAAAAACTAAAGAAGCTCTTGTTTGCTGAACAAATTCTCCTTCTCGGAACCTTAAGAAATGTAGAGAGACAGTAAGTGGAATATGCATACTGATGTTAGAGTGTAAAGGGTTAATAAAAAAGAACAAACAAAGTGAAATGCAATGTACCTTACCAGAGGCAGGCCTACCATTGTTTCGCCTCGTTTTTCTCTATAGATTCCTCTTTACTCTTCTGCAATTTAATTTCTCTGGCTGAAACATCCACGACAAGAGTCACGATGTTTTGACCAGTCTGTACTGATGCTTTGTCAGCTCTTTTTTGGGGTATAGAAGTGGATCGTGCCTCCTTGTAGCAGACTGTAGGTGTGTTTTATAAGGTTGGAATTCCTTTGGTTCTGGATAGTCAGGTTCTTGTGCATCTAAGCGCAAAGGCTTTAGCCTGTCCAGTCCGACAAAAATACCAGTTGGTGATGCCCGACAGAACTTCCTCTTGCATGGCTGTTCTGCACAAGGGTCAAAAAGCAGATTGTGACAGTTGCAAAACTGGAATTGTTTGCGCAGTTGAAGCGATCCAGGAGATAAGTGAATCATTTAAGCATTCTGATGGAAAACGTCATAGGGATACGGGATATGGCCGATTACATTGATGAATATTTAAAAATCAGCGTGCAGTTTCCTATTGCCAGATCTTAACTGATTAGTGGGCCCTTATCAATTAAAATCTGCCATGAAGAAATTGAGTATACTGGATTGTTCCCACAGAAAATAGTTTAAAAAAACTAAACCAACAATAATTAGTAACAGTGATTTTAATATCAATGATCAAAATAGGTGGATTTGCGGCATGGTGGTAAATTTCGATCGTCCGAAACAACTTCCGGTTCCTGTAATTGGCCGGGGCTTTTAATCCTGTAACTCCCCTGAGTGACCAAGACAGAATTTCTCCTTACAATGTCGATACAATATCATGCAGACAAGTGATGAGAATAAACACAAATATCAATCTGGGGATTATTAGTTGATCTAAGACCAAATTCTCCAAACTAACATCATAAGAATTGTACGGCAGACAGTAAGGAGAATTACTATTGAGATCTTGGGAGTAAAAGGGTCATCACAGCCCCAAAACTTTGGCTATGCAAGGTTCTTTATACCATTGAGACACTCAAGGACTAATTTTCTGAACCTTAACTTGTGAGATGTTTTTGACCCTTGGTTTACCCTAAGCACTAAAACAGAAAACCCTTTCAAGTGAAGCACCCCATTCCACGAGGAAAGCAGATTGTTTTCCAGACCCATTCTCGTCACAAAAAGAGTAACATCTTTCTTCATTAGACACTTCAGCTAAACATATGCCCTTCGCTTTCTTATTCTTTTCACTCACAGAATGTTTACGGCATTGCACATCATCCTAAAGGGAAGCAAAACGCTTGTCGCATCCTAACCTATACCAGTGGTTTTTCTATCTCACTGCTGAACTCTGAATGGTGGAGCATTGAAACGCAAATTGCGAAGCTCAGGAGTTCTGTTCCTCCTCCCTGATAATGGAGTTCAGAAATTTTTATGTAAAAGTTTACTCATCTGAGTACACAATTTTCTTTGCACCCCGCGGGCAACTCGTTTACATGAGAACCTTGGGAAAACGCATCCAAGTAAGACCAAGAGTAATGAACGAGCAGATGGTACAAAAAGAAAAACAATTGTTGGTGGGCAAATTAAGATCTATTGGATATATTTTTTTATCACCATAACACGTACAGGTATATTACAATGTTATAAAGGAATACTGACTCTTAATTCTCTTAATGACTCTTAACTAATGATTCAGTTGCACCATCCTGTATCAGTTGATGATGAGCATATGTGATTGAACTGAAGTACCAAGACAAAAACCGGGTTCCGCGGTAACGTTACCAGCTTTCAAACCACCAAAAATTGCAGATAGCTCAAATACAAATCAACGAGTAAGTGTCAACAAATTTTATCTTAACATTTATATGAGAAGGAACAAATCCAAGACTGGGACGAACCATTCTCAACCCGGTTATTGGTACTATTTTGAAATCAATCCAACAAAAAGACACGTAGATTATTGCTTTGGGTTTAAATATGCTTACACTTGAATAAATACCGATTTGTACCCAATAAAAAAACTTAAACGTTTCTGTACTGAATGAGCCATAAACCGTTCAGCCTTTAAAATACAAAGAATTTTCTTTTTAAAGTTCTGCCTGTAACTAAAAAGTTACTCCAACCATCAGTGCGCAACTGATTTCTTGTTGTCTATCGGGGTTTTAAATTAAAAATTAATGGATTGATTAACACCATCATACGGAAAAGATTCCTTAATAAGTTTTTTCCCCTAAGGTTTTTCGTTTTCACTCGTCGTGTTTTGCAGATTGAGACTCTGGGATTGCATGTTACAGCCTAATATAACTGCTCTGTAGCTGGATAGTTATCGCCTACATTTATGCACATGGGGAAATTAGTTTTCTCGGTGACAATCAAATATTCTATGCTTATGATAAAAATTTATGCATTTCTTTACAAAGCCAACGCGTACACTGTACTAACTGAGTATGAATGGACTCTTGAATAATTCAAAGAGTCGAGGACAACATCATTTGATGTTAATACTGTAAGATTTGTTTATATACTTTTCAAACAAAATACTTAACAAAGCTGTATGTACGGATAAATGTTGTTGAATTTTTTTCGTAAGTCTTAATTTATCTTCATCCATAAACTTGACAATTGTTTCTAAGTGCATACAAAGCCTATTTTTTGTGAAATTCGTGATCCTCCGTAGGCATTACAAGCGACTCGTAGCTAATAATTTTTTTTCTCAGATTAACTCTTCATCTTTAGTATTCTTAAAAAAAAGAACCCTGATAATGGTTTTAAAAAGCGTGCCCCTACAAACTTACAACGTTTTATTGAACTCTTCCAGTGTGCTGATAATCTCTGTCATGTCTGGTCTTTCAGTGGGATCTGACCGCACACATCGGCGGACGAGGTCTTGCAATACCTGGTCTGTCATCTGAGTCATTTGACGTTCACGGTTTTGATACTCTGGGAATTTCTGAATGCACATTTCACAGAGGAGAACACCGAAACTGTAGACATCAATCTGAAAAGCAGGACAAGAAGAAACAATGAAATAAGATCGCTGTTTTCACAAGCTTTTTGCCGTTTGCGTAGACGGAGCACAATTTGCCGTTTGTGTGGACCGAGTACACTGCCGTTTGTGTAGACTGAGCACACTGCCGTTTGTGTAGACCGTGCACAATTTGCCGTTTTTGTAGACTGAGCACACTTTGCCGTTTTGCGTTAACCGAGCACACGACTTAAGACTGAGTTAAGACACAAGTACCGCTTAATCCTTAATTGTAAAGGGTTCATGTTTTAAAAAAACTTCTCCAACGTAATTCTGTAAGCTTATTTTCTCACCTTTGCTGTCTGCTTTGCTGGTATCTGCACTTCAGGTGCACTGTAGGCGAAACATCCTGGGCCAATTGACATGAACTGTTCCTCAAACTTAGCAGAACCATAATCTGACACTTTGCCTCGCCACTGGTTAGCCTGTCGCCACAGCAGCACATTGCCGCTACTAACATCGCGGTGAAAAATAGGAAAGGTTTCTTTTGGTGGAGGTAGTTCAACGCTCGAGCCACATCAAGCGAAATTACGGTGATTTCCTCACGGGAAAGAGGTCGTTGTTCCAGTAGCTCGCGCAAATTTGATTCCATCAGCTCAGTAACAAACAGTGGAATTTCCTCGTCATAAGTCGCTCCGATAAACTGCAGCAAGCAAGGGTGTCGGCATCGTGAAGCAAATATCAATTTCCCTCTGGAACAAACTCTGGTTGTGAGGCGAATTAATTGCCTCATGGATTCGCTTCACGGCAACAGAACAGCCACAGTACCTGCCCTCAAAAACCTCACCCCACCCTCCAACTCCAAGGTTTTTATCAGTCAACTGAATATTATCCCGGAAATTACCCAATCATCGGGCTGTGATCCGGTGTGATTCTCGAGGTTAACAACCTGTTGTCGGAGATTTGCATTTTCTGCTACAATTGCTTCAAGTTGGTGCTGGAGATCTGTTCTGAGTAGTTCTTGCTCCTCCACCTGCGTTCGAGCGTTTGCTAAATGCTGATCCTTTTCTCTGAGTTGTTCACGTAGCCCTTGCAACTGCATCTGAAAGTTTTCTATTTGTTGATCCCTTTCTCTAAGCTGTTCAACTAGCCTAGTAGCTTCTTCTTCCATTTCTTCTCTCAGCCGTTGTTCCATTAAGTGTACCCTTATTTGCGCGCGTAAGTTCTCCTCTTTTTTTGCTTCTTCTCAATCAACTGACGTGCCATCTCCCTCAGTTCTTGCTCTCTCTCCCTCTGGTTTGTTCACGAAACTCATTTTCTCTCATCTCATTCTCCGCTGTAACCTCTCTCGATCGTTGTTCCATCTCCTAAGTTGTTTCAGTAAAGTTTCCTTTTGATCATCTTTTTCTGACAATTGCTGTTCCATCCCGCTCAAATGTCTCTGATAGTCAACAGCCTGCTCCTCCCTTTCGCTAAGCTGTTTGCGCAACTCAGTTTCACTCGTTTCCTTTTGTGTTAATTCTTCTCTCATCCTTTGCTCCATCTGCTCCAGGCTTAATCGTAAATTTTCTTCTTGTGCCTCTTTCTGTGTTAATCGTTTCTCTACATCTTTCAGGTTCGTTCGTAAATTCTCAACTTGCTCCTCATTCTCTCTCAGCTGTTCTTCTACATTCTTTGTCTGCGTCTTAAGATCTTCTTCCCGCTCCACTGTCACTGTCAATTGTTGTATCATCTCCGTCAACTGCTGGTCCTTTTCGGAGATCTTTTCACACAAAACTACTTGTCTCGCATCTTTTTCAGTTATTTCTTCCTTCAACCTGCGTTCCATTTCCTGAAATTGTTCTCCTAAAATTTCATCTCCCTTAACTTTCTCCTCCAGTTGTTGCTTTTGCATCCTCAGTTGCATCCGGAAGTGTGCTTCTTGACAATCCATTTCTCTGAGCTGTTTTCGTAGCAGAATTTCTGTTGTTTCTTTGTCTATTAATTCTTCTCGTAATCTTCGTTCCTTTTCCAGTTGCCGCTCTTGCTCACATAGTGTTCTTTGGAGGCTTGCTTCTTGACAATCCTTTTCTCTGAGCTGCTTTCGTAGCAGAATTTCTGTTGTTTCTTTTTCTATTAATTCTTCTTGTAATCCTCGTTCCTTTTCCAGTTGCCGCTCTTGCTCACATAGTGTTCTTTGGAGGCTTGCTTCTTGACAATCCTTTTCTCTGAGCTGCTTTCGTAGCAGAATTTCTGTTGTTTCTTTTTCTATTAATTCTTCTTGTAATCCTCGTTCCTTTTCCAGTTGCCGCTCTTGCTCACATAGTGTTCTTTGGAGGCTTGCTTCTTGACAATCCTTTTCTCTGAGCTGTGTTTTTCGTAGCAATTTTCTGTTGTTTCTTTTTTGCTATTAATTCTTCTTGTAATCCTCGTTCCTTTTCCAGTTGCCGCTCTTTGCTCACATAGTGTTCTTTGGAGGCTTGCTTCTTGACAATCCTTTTCTCTGAGCTGCTTTCGTAGCAGAATTTCTGTTGTTTCTTTTTCTATTAATTCTTCTTGTAATCCTCGTTCCTTTTCCAGTTGCCGCTCTTGCTCACATAGTGTTCTTTGGAGGCTTGCTTCTTGACAATCCTTTTCTCTGAGCTGTTTTCGTAGCAGAATTTCTGTCGTTTCTCTTTCGTTTAATTCCGCTCGCAATCTTTTCTCGTTATCCAGTTGTGTTCTAAAATTCTCTTTTCGATTGTCTCTTACTGTCAACTGTTGCTCTATCTTCTGAATTTGTCCCTGAAAGTTTTCCGCATCCTGATGCTTTCTTGAGAGCTGATTACTTAACAAAACTACTCTAATTTTTGTTCTTGTAAGTTCCTCTCTTAATCTCTGTTCAGTGTTACTTAACCCTGAACAAAAATTCTCCTCTCGTCGCTCTTCCTCTTTCTCTCCGTCGTGGAATCTAACAGCTGTAATGGAAAAATCTTCTTGGTAGTCCTCTTCGGCAGCCTGCTTTTGTTGAAATGCAGTCTCTTGCTCTTTCTCACTTTCTTGAAGTGCTTTGTTCAGAAAAGTTTCTGGTTCCCCTCTTACTTGCTGTTTCGAAATACCATTGTTTTGATGCGTTGTTTCTTCATCCAACTGTGCCCCAGGACCAGGACCCGTTTCTAAGAATCAATCCAAATGGTAAATCTCAGCACTAAACTGGCCAGGCATCATTTAATCTATCAAAAAAAAATCTTATATGGACCCAAAAGCTCGTTAAATATCCAGATAATGATGATAAGTCAGAATCTACAGAGCCCGAAGTCCAAATGCTCAAGGCGTTAGATAATCGAACAAAATGAGACATGTAGCATTAATCAAGCACTGAAGATTCTATTGTAAAAGGGTAACATGACAGGTAACCAACCACAAGTACGCTCGTTAGAAGAACAAATGAGTTCCCAGGGAAGTAATAAGTGGTTCATGTATTTGACGTGTAAAAAAAAAACAAAAAAAAATTCTTTCGGCAGAACAGTGATTTTTGCCCTGATAATGAGAGCTTTTATCTATCGTTGCTGTCACAGTCATTGATTATTAAGTTTTGTGCCTGTGTCTCATACATAGATAAATCTACAGCTCACCTAGCACAGTCGGCTTTAAGTTCAAAACACTAGTGTTCCTTACCTGATGAATCATCGTCGGACTGCGAATCGAATTTCTCAGAACTCTCTTCCTCATCCGGTGTTTCAGACTCTTTAGGTTCAGCATCAAACTCTCTCTCTAGCATAGCAGATTCCACAGGAATAAACATGGAAAAACTATCTTCACAATTGAATAGTTGTCTTCCATTTCTTCTTCCACATCCACCTTCCCTGAATCTTTCGTCCTATCCGAATTTCAAAAAGGAATTTTATAGCCGTAATTATTTTATAAGATAATCACAAAGTCACTAGAAAACATATGCAGCTATGCAGGAGACAGTTTTTACCTTCTTTCTTTTAACCAATACTATAGATAACTTATATGTTTTCTTACTAATTTGCCTTCGGTGGTTAAAAGCTATCAGCATTTATAAAACTGTAACACCTCACATGCAAAGCTTCGAGAAAAGAGTCGATGTTAGCGCTTACAAGGCTGCTTTTCAGCCTTAAGTGGTGGGAAAGTGTTCTCTAAAGGCATCGGGCCAAAATGCTGCCAATCTAATACGAGACACAAAACAGCAAATCTAAAAGCCAAGTCATTCCTGAAGATAAAACATAACCTATCAGTAAATGATAATGAAAGCAGGTGGCACGAATCCTGTTCAAATGGACGTCCCCGAAATCTTTGCTTGTGGCTCAGGAGATAATCCTCTGAAAACATCATCTTCTTAGGTCATGTAATATAAAGACGGCATCAGTACCGTATGACTGAATCTTAAACTTCAATACATGTTCTATCACTGCTCTTATACACAAACAAAATTCTTATAAGTACAAGCCTTACCATTTCCAGGCCAAGAATCTTTTGAACGTTTCCATTGGAGTCTTTTTCTTCACCAATATAACGAACAGTCCCTCTGGATTCATGGTCGTCGATAAATGTTACAATTCTTTGATTGACTTCAAGTTCTGGGTCAATTCTTCCCTTTACTTCACCTTTTCCTCGAAAAAGCTGTGATAGTCGTATTCTTGAGAGTCTTGACTTAATGTCTGGGTAATGTTCTTCAGACGTCAGGTTATTCAAACTCAACGATTTTCTCCGACCCGGATTTCCCTGGGAACAATTTTAAGGAGATGCTTGAGAAAAAGTAAGACGATGTTCTTTGAGTAAAAGATCTGTTGTTTTTATTTACCTCTATAGTTATGGTTGAAATATTTTTGCAGAAAAAAAAGTGTAAGGAGCCTTCTCAGCATGTTTCTACATACTAAATAGCCGCGTGTAAGGTCAAACCTACATTAGGTTTAAACATCTTGCAAGTGGATTGTACATGGAGCTGATTAATTGTCTACTTACTGATGAGCGCTGTTCTGATAGATATAAAACTCAGAGAAGCATATGAGATACTCACTTATTCTTACATTTTAACTTCAGGAACAACTGGGCCAATTTAAACACTTCATACGTTGTACTGGAGAATACTTTAAAAATTGCACGTCGTATGACAAAATACAAAATAACAAGAGAATTAAATTGTAAGGCTGATATCAGACCGGTATCCGGTCAATTCGCCAACACAACAGACTCGCCACCGAAAAACTCGCCACCACTGAGTAAATGGCCTTATATGCTAGGTGTTCCCACAGCAGTCGGTTGTGTGGTCTGACCGTCAAATTGAGGAGAGCCCTTAGAGGGACAGGCGTTGTTGCGTGACGTTTTGACAACCTCTCACGTGAAAATGAAGATGAACTCTGCCCAAGATGTTTGTCGGTCAAGGGATATCAGTTTGGTTAGTGAAAACTGACTTACTTGTTTTTCCGTAATGACGCGGTGCAAGTAAGTTATAGTTTGTCAGCTTCGAAGATCTGTCGTCGATAAAATTAGATCGTTTTGCTTGGTTCATTGGATATGTCAAAGACCTGCATAAGTTGTTTTCTTTTTGTCCGACACATAGAGTTTATTATGTCTGTTGAGAAGAATCTATTTAATGTGAGTGCACCAGCTTTTCGGTCTTTGAAACTGACCAAACGCTCCGGCACCCTCTACCGGCATTTTTTATGACATGGAATAAATTCAGTACTCTTATTTTTCTAAAATTCCTCAGTGGGCTTACTGCACTGACCGCAGTATCGTGAAGTGAACCGTGGCAAATTCAATCGAACAACAAAGTTGATCGTAGTCAAAAATAATCCCCTGAAAATGACTGGCGGCTTATTTTGACGACTTTGCCGCGGTTTTCTTCCAGTTTTTTCCACTCTACGTTGTTGATCTCGCAGGAAAAATACCCCAGTATACCGTCGTCAACCGAGCTGCCCTTCACGCAATGAATCGATACTACTAAATCTCATGAGGGTGTTGAGCAGCTTGATTTGTTTGGCATGCCTGCAGTGTCTCTGTTTTCATCTAAAGCAGTTTAAAATCTTACTTTAGCTTACCTTTCTTTCTGGTTGTTTCAACTGTGTTGCTCTCTTTTTCAAAGTAGAAGCCATTCGTTTCACTGTAGTTAAGAACTGTTTATTTATAAATAAACTCAATTAAAAACAGCTCGGTGTGACAACCTAATAAATAGCTAATCAACAAAATTTTTCACCTGCGTAACTCTGCTTGTTATGGAACCTTCTGCCATTTAATTATTGCTATGGAATGTTCTGTTCAAATTATAATTTTAGCTCCCTTTGTTTTTTTCTTCCCCAGATTCTATTGTTTCAAAAGGTTTAGCGATGAAAGTCTGTGTTTGTAGCAAAGCCGAAATACAGCACATTTTATGAGGCGACTTGATAAACATTTATTTCGCGTAAATATGATAACAAAGTATATTGTTTTGATGTGATAATTTCATAACTTTAACCTTTGGTAAACGCTTCGCTTTGTGTTTACTCTTGCGTATAAAACGAATTGTACTTCTCGAAGTTTCAAACATTACATACCTAATATTACTATTACGTATACTAGTTTCTTGCAAAAAGCCAAAAAATCGACCAATCTCAGGCGGCAACACCGCGTCGTGAACAACAGTAGCTTTGCATTATGAATAAAAGGCCCCTTTATAGAAAACTCTAGAGAGGCATAAAATATGCCTCAGGTTAAGGTTAACTAAAACCACAACAGGCAAAGGCTTGTTTTGGGAGCAGACAGTTAATTAAATGTAAATATCCTACCTAAATAACACACTAGACTATTACATAAAAGATTGGACGAATACACTACACCAACGGTCCAGTAATCAGGGATAAGTTACAAACACGAATGAGATTAAGATACAATCAAGACTGTCGATGGTGTGGGTTGGAGGGAAACTAAAACTTTCTTAAAGCTACAAATAAACTTGCTGCTTGCTTGCTTGCTTGCTAGATTACTAATAACACGTGCACAGATACCTAAGCGGTGATACTAAAGTAATTTCGCAATTAGAACGCGTTAGCGTGAATAACCATTGGCTCTACCCAAGTCTTATGACTTATATGCTGAACAAATCGCTCAATCTTAAAGAAAAAGAAAATACTAATATGCACCCTGCCTGTACCCAGTGCAGGCCTCTCAGTTATCGATGTCCAGATTCATATTAATAGAGATTAATATTCACTGAAAGGGTCACCGGACCGAGTTGCTTGATGGCTGTTTACAATGGAACCGCATGTAATGCTCTACAGGGGTAGAGCGAGCAAGGTCACTATTTAAGCGGGGGTGGGGTAAAGTAATGCCTTGAAAACAAAAATCTGACTGAATTTCAAACCATCCTCCATATTCTTTATATTAAGTAAATCTGGAGGAAACGACTACATAGATTGAAAATAATGATATTTTAACCAGGTATTTGACTATAGCTAAATAGGGTTGGTGCTCTAAAAATCTCTAATTATTCAATTAAAAAGAAAAAAAATGTTAAGAAGTGAGAACTTTCTTTACCCCTTATACGCCATGTCCTTCCACTAGCTCGTGGTGTATCCCAATTAAACCATATACATAATAACACTAGACAAGATAGGGTTTCAAGTTTTATTTAAAAGGGTTTTAAATTGGCGATCAAACAGTAAAACGTACTGGAGGATAATGACCAAATTCAATTCAATCTGCCGAAAGAAATCAGAAATTATTAAGTTTTTATGCCTCTATCCATTTGAAGCGTCAACATCCCTCTCTCCTAGGTAGCCCTAGGGCATTTGAACTTTAATAATTGGTTTGTTGTAATTTTTTGTAGCCAGTTTAATGGAGAATGTATAACAGCCGGTGAGGAGAATTAACAATCAGATCTTGAGGGTTTAAGGGTTAAGCTAATGAGAGCTCTAGTCTATGCCAAATCCTAAAAATGCATTACTACTCTTTTAAACAGGTAGCTTTCTATTACCTGTCCACTGCAAACACAGAAGAGTGCACATTGACGAACCAACAAAATATACATGGTTGAGTCTTATGAGCTATGAGCCTGACTTCATTTAGCTCGTACCCAGACCTTTCATGGCCAAGGGGTTGCAGTAATAGCTACACAATAAGATCTGGGTATGAGATTAGGGGGGAATTGTCCATTTTGAAAGTTAAGTTCATGCATAGAAGTCTCGTACTCAGATCTTCCACGGCCAAGCGGTTTTAACATCTCAGTTACAGTTAAATGGTTGATCAGGTCGATGAGTTACATGCGCAGTTGGAGCTAGAATTCGAAATTAGGGCAAGGGTTACTGTAAGCAGTTAGAGTATAATGAGGCGCTACTAGCGGTTATCAGGATACGGGATATTTGGGTAAAAAATGATAGGGATGAGGGACACTTGAGGAAAAAATTAATTTGGGATATTTGAGATAGATATTCTAGGATATCAACCTTAAATTACTGGGATACAAAACACGGGAAAGAACAAGATTTGGGATATTTAGACCAACAATTAAAAGGGTACGGAATACTCAGACCTCTCCCAATGGAACCTCGTGACTAAAGTTTCTGCAGCTTTTCAGACAGTGTTTTACTGTTCCTGATTTAAGAATAAAAAAAAAAATCTGAAAAGTTTGTACCGCCCCACTCCCCTTTCTGTATTCCATGGTTATCCATGGCCCATCCCTTTTTTCATTGAAATAAATGGTTCCTCGACCCGATATTCTGATCAGTCCACCCCTCTTTTATTTTATGGCTAGTCCATCATTACCCCATTCAGTTCCAGTTTGGCATTTAAGCACTTAGTTGGTTACCACAACATCATTTTACCACAAAAACAAACAAACAAACAAACAAGAACAAGTTAAACCTGAAGTGAAATTTCGGCACCGTAACCGTTAATACCGTGGCGAGATATAGGTCTTTCTGGCCGGTACTGTAGCTGAAGTGTTTTTGTTGTTTTGTACCTGGTCCCACTATTATTTCGAATTTCGAAGAAAGCGCGGGAGAGAAAATTGATTTCAATCTTTTTTTTTTCTGTTAAGCTATTGGATCAATTTACTGAAGTTCTAAACCTTTAATTCATTCCTAGAGGAATTTACTTTCAACTTGTTAACATAGAAGTTGATTATTTTAGCCAATTACTTGTGTTTCATTTACTTGTTAGTAAATGACTTAACTTGTATACACTTCCTTGATTGCTTATTTTTTGGATTAGACCTTGACCTGGGATTAGAACAACGGAATTCCTCCACGATTTTTATGTTGTTAACCGATTTGTGCCTTACATTTCCATTTATCAGAATTGCGGGCTAAACTAATCTCACGTAAACGGTTTTGGGTTATCTTCTAAATAAACGATAAGCACTTCTTTTTAAACAAAACTTATTTTTCATATCTCTCACGAGCCCTGACTAGGGCAGAACAACCACACACACACACACACACACACACACATACTTTCCATGGCAATTTCGACTTTGCTCATTTCTTTCCTGCCCGTGGGCAGAACACATTCGCGCGCACACGCAAAGACTGTCCATGGTAACTTCGCTTGTTATTGTCAGCGCCCTCTCTACGATATACTCTTTATGAGACTCATTGCGAGGTCACCCTTTGAATTTGTGACACTTTTACCATCGCATTTACATACAGCCCCTCAAACAAAAGTGAACACTGTAATTGATCTTTCCAAGTCCATCATTTTTCGTTTTCTCTCTTAATCAGAATGTTTTGATTTTGCACAAATCGTTCCGGTGTGAGAACCTCTCTTTCACTTTGTGATAAAGCCAGCAAAGCAAGGGAAGGCCAGATCGATATCTAATATGAGTAGAGTACGTGCAGGGGGAAAAGCCCGTCTTACATCAACCTATAACACACAGCTAACTTGTCCATTGCGCAAAAAAAAAAAAATTAACAAATCGAATTAGTCCTTTGCTGGCCCAGTATTTTCCGAATATTGAACAAGCAAATGCTGCGAATTATCCCACGCGACCCCTCTTAAATGTTTTGTAATATTTTTGCAGGTTCTTTTGTCAAAGAGAGAAACTAATTTACCAATGAGAGATTCTTTCCCGTTCCTTCCGGCTTTCGTTTAACCCTTTAGCTCCTAAGATCTGATTGTTAATTCTCCCCTCTTGTTACTATACATTACCTTGTCACATTGAGAATTTGTTGTTAGTTCAAAATAAAATCTTCTGCCTGATTAGTTTGTGTATTCTTATTTCCTGTTTGTTGGATAATGTATGGATATTCTAGGGAGAAGTTACATGTTAATCACATTTGGGTGTTAAAGGGTTAATTCCATTTTTCCGAAACTTCCGATGAAATAAAGTAATATTAGGTAGGAGAGTTCTGTTAGGGTGGCTAGACACAGCGCAGAATTTGGTTTATCTTTCTGCTGGAGGAGTTTTTTGATACTGTGCAGAACTGAACCTGCAGCCGTAAAAGAGAAAAAAATTATCCTTTGAGGGGTGAGATAAAGAGCTTCCTGGTGTTGGTGCTTGCTGTCTTCGCGACTATCCTCAACAAGAAAATTACACATGCAAAGGCCAAGTACCATGCATTATTATTATACTTGGAAGAACTAAAACACTGCCTGGAAATTTTATGCTCGAATATTATTTTTCCCCTGCAGATTTAAGCCAACTGATCTCGTGATTTGTACATGTACAGTTGCATTACATTATAAACTCACATGGGATATTTGAGGTGAATCGTTGTCTGTGTTTAGCCGAAACTTTCAATCACACTAATTTCACCACCAATCGTTTAACCCTTAAACCCCTAGGAGCGACTGGCATGTAATTTCTTATAGGATCATTCCTGGATAAAACATTAGGGTCGTGAGATTAAGGAAAATCATCAAAAACTAAAGAAGCTCTTGTTTGCTGAACAAATTCTCTCAGCTCCTTCTCGGAACCTTAAGAAATGTAGAGAGACAGTATGTGGAATATACATACTGATGTTAGAGTGTAAAGGGTTAATAAAAAAGAACAAACAAAGTGAAATGCGATGTACCTTACCAGAGGCAGGCCTACCATTGTTTCGCCTCGTTTTTCTCTATAGATTCCTCTTTACTCTTCTGCAGTTTAGTTTCTCTGGCTGAAACATCCACAACAAGAGTCACGATCTTTTGACCAGTCTGTACTGATGCTTTGTCAGCTCTTTTTTGGGGTATAGAAGTGGATCGTGCCTCCTTGTAACAGACTGTAGGTGTGTTTTATAAGGTTGTAATTCCTTTGGTTCTGGATAGTTAGGTTCTTGTGCATCTAAGCGCAAAGGCTTTAGCCTGTCCAGTCCGACAAAAATACCAGTTGGTGATGCCCGACAGAACTTCCTCGTGCACGGTTGTTCTGCACAAGGGTCAAAAAGCAGATTGTGACAGTTGCACAACTGGAATTGTTTGCGCAGTTAAAGCGATCCAGGAGATAAGTGAATCATTTAAGCATTCTGATGGAAAACGTCATGGGGATACGGGATATGGCCGATTACATTGATGAATATTTAAAAATCAGCGTGCAGTTTCCTATTGCCAGATCTTAACTGATTAGTGGGCCCTCATCAATTAAAATCTGCCATGAAGAAATTGAGTATACTGGATTGTTTCGACAGAAAATAGTTTAAAAAAACTAAACCAATAATAATTAGTAACAGTGATTTTAATATCAATGATCAAAATAGGTGGATTTGCGGCATGGTGGTAAATTTCGATCGTCCGAAACAACTTCCGGTTCCTGTAATTGGCCGGGGCTTTTAATCCTGTAACTCCCCTGAGTGACCAAGACAGAATTTCTCCTTACAATATCGATACAATATCATGCAGACAAGTGATGAGAATAAACACAAATATCAATCTGGGGATTATTAGTTGATCTAAGACCAAATTCTCCAAACTAACATCATAAGAATTGTACGGCAGACAGTAAGGAGAATTACTATTGAGATCTTGGGAGTAAAAGGGTCATCACAGCCCCAAAACTTTGGCTATGCAAGTCCGCTGCAGCTACAAGGTTCTTTATACCATTGAGACACTCAAGGACTAATATCCTGAACCTTAACTTGTGAGATGTTTTTGACCCTTGGTTTACCCTAAGCACGAAAACAGAAAACCCTTTCAAGTGAAGCACCCCATTCCACGAGGAAAGCAGATTGTTTTCCAGACCCATTCTCGTCACAAAACGAGTAACATCTTTCTTCATTAGACACTTTAGCTAAACATATGCCCTTCGCTTTCTTATTCTTTTCACTCACATAATGTTTGCGGCATTGCGTATCATCTTAGAGGTAAGCAAAACGCTTGTCGCATCCTAACCTATATTAGTGGTTTTTCTATCTCACCGCTGAACTCTCATTGGTGGAGCATTGAAACGCAAATTGCAAAGCTCAGGAGTTCTGTTCCTCCTCCCTGATAATGGAGTTCAGAAATTTTTATGTAAAAGTTTACTCATCTGAGTACACAATTTTCTTTGCACCCCGCGGGCAACTCGTTTACATGAGAACCTTGGGAAAACGCATCCAAGTAAGACCAAGAGTAATGAACGAGCAGATGGTACAAAAAGAAAAACAATTGTTGGTGGGCAAATTAAGATCTATTGGATATATTTTTTTTTATCACCATAACAAGTACAGGTATATTACAATGTTATAAATGAATACTGACTCTTAATTCTCTTAATGACTCTTAACTAATGATTCAGTTGCACCACCCTGTATCAGTTGATGATGAGCATATGTAATTGAACTGAAGTACCAAGACAAAAACAGGGTACCGCGGTAACTTTACCAGCTTTCAAACCACCATAAATTGCAGATAGCTCAAATACAAATCAACGAGTAAGTGTCAACAAATTTTATCTTAACATTTATATGGGAGGGAACAAATCCAAGACTGGGACGAACCATTCTCAACCCGGTTATTGGTACTATTTTGAAATCAATCCAACAAAAAGACACGTAGAGTATTACTTTGGGTCTAGATATGCTTACACTTGAACAATACCGATTTGTTCCCAATAAAAAACTTAGACGTTTCTGTACTGAATGAGCCATAAACCGTTCAGCCTTTAAGATACAAAGAATTTTCTTTTTAAAGTTCTGCCTGTAACTAAAAAGCTACTCCAACCATCAGTCCGCAACTGATTTCCCGTTGTCTATCGGGGTTTTTAAATTAAAAATTAATGGATTGATTAACACCATTATACGGAAAAAATTTCTTAATAAGCTTTTTCCCCTAAGGTTTTTCGTTTTCATTCGTCTTGTTTTGCAGATTGAGACTCTGGGATTGCATGTCACAGCCTAATATAACTGCTCTGTAGCTGGATAGTTATTGGCTACACTTATGCAAATATTCTATGCTTATGATAAAAATTTATGCATTTCTTTATAAAGCCAACGCGTACACTGTACTAACTGAGTATGAATGGACTCTTGGATAATTCAAAGAATCGAGGACAACATCATTTGATTTTAACACTGTAAGATTTGTTTATATACTTTTCTAACTAAATACTTATCACAGCTGTATGTGCGAATAAATGTTGTTGAATTTCGAAGTTTTTTCTTAATTCTTGCTCTATCTTCGTCCCTAAACTTGATAATTGTCTGTAAGTGCATATAAAGCCTATTTTTTGTGCAATTCGTGATCCTCCATAGGCACTGCAAGCGACTCGTAGCGAATAATATTTTTCTCAGATTAACTCTTCATCTTTAATATTCTTAAAAAAAAAGAACACCGATAATGGTTTAAAAAAACATGCCCCGACAAACTTACAAAGTTTTATTGAACTCTTCCAATGTACTAATAATCTCTGTCATGTCTGGTCTTTCAGTGGGATCATACCGCACACATCGGCGGACGAGGTCTTGCAATACCTGATTTGTCATCTGAGCGATTTGAAGTTCACGGTTTTGATAATCTGGGAATGTCTTAATGCACATTTCACAGAGGAGAACGCCGAAACTGTAGACATCAATCTAAAAAGCAGGACAAGAAGAGACAATGAAATAAGATCGCTGTTTTCCCAAGCTTTTTACCGTTTGCGTAGACCGAGCACAATTTGCCGTTTGTGTGGACCGAGCACACTTTGCCGTTTGTGTAGACTGAGCACACTGCCGTTTGTGTAGACCGTGCACTCTTTGCCGTTTTGCGTTGACCGAGCACACGACTCAAGACTGAGTTACACAAGTACTGTTTAATCCTTAATTGTAAAGGGTTCATGTTTTAAAAAAAATATCTCCAAGGAAATTCTGTAAGCTTATTTTCTCACCTTTGCTGTCTGCTTTGCTTGTCTCTGCACTTCAGGCGCACTGTAGGCGAAACATCCTGGGCCAATTGACATAAACTGTTCCTCGAACTTAGCAGAGCCATAATCTGACACTTTGCCTCGCCATTGATCACCCTGTCGCCATAGCAACACATTGCCGCTACTAACATCGCGGTGAAAAATAGGAAAAGGTTTCTTTTGGTGGAGGTAGTTCAACGCTCGAGCCACATCGAGCGAAATTACGGTGATTTCCTTACGGGAAAGACGTCGTTGTCTCAGTAGCTCGTGCAAATTCGATTCCATCAGCTCAGTAACAAACAATGGAATTTCCTCATCATTAGTCGCTCCAATAAACTGCAGTAAGCAAGGGTGTCGGCATCGCGAAGCAATATCAATTTCCCTCTGGAACAAACTCTGGTTGTAAGGCGAGTTAATTGCCTCATGGATTCGCTTCACGGCAACAGAACAACCACAGTACCTGCCCTCGAAAACCTCGCCCCACCCTCCAACTCCAAGGCTTTTATCAGTCAACTGAATATCATCCCGGGAAATTACCCAATCATTGGACTGTGATCCGGCTTGATTCTCGAGGTTAACAACCTGTTGTCGTGGATTTTCATTTTCTGCTACCATTTCTCTAAATCGCTCCTCCGGCTGCGTTCGAACGTTTGCTGAATGCTGATCCTTTTCTCTGAGTTGTTCACGCAACTCTTGCAACTGCATCTGAAAGTTTTCTATTTGTTGATCCCTTTCTCTAAGCTGCTCACCAAGCCTAGTAGCTTCTTCTATCATTTCTTCTCTCAGCCGTTGTTCCATTAAGTGCACCCTTATTTGCTTGCGTAAGTTCTCCTCTTTTTGCTCCTTCTCAGTCAACTGATGTGCCATCTCCCTCAGTTCTTGCTCTCTCTCTCTGAGTTGTTTACGAAACTCATTTTCTCTCATCTCATTCTCCGCTGTAACCTCTCTCGATCGCTGTTCCATCTCCCTAATTTGTCTCAGCAAAGTTTCCTTTTGATGGTTTTTTTCTGACAATTGCTGTTCCATCCCACTCAAATGTCTCTGGTAGTCAACAGCCTGCTCCTCCTTTTCTCTAAGCTGTTTGCGCAACTCAGTTTCTCTCGTTTCCTTTTGTGTTAATTCTTCTCTCATCCTTTGTTCTATCTGCTCCAGGTCTGATCGTAAATTTTCTTCTTGTGCCTCTTTCTGCGTTAATCGTTGCTCAACATCTTTCAGGTTCGTTCGTAAATTCTCAACTCGATCCTCATTCTCTCTTAGCTGTTCTTCTACATTCCTTAGCTGCGTCTTAAGATCTTCTTCTCGCTCCTCTGTCACTGTCAATTCTTGTATCATCTCCGTCAACTGCTGGTCCTTTTCTGTGATCTGTTCACACAAAACTACTTGTCTCGCATCTTTCTCAGTTATTTCTTCCCTCAACCTTCGTTCCATTTCCTCAAATTGTTCTCGTAAAGTTTCATCTACCTTAGCTTTCTCCCCCAGTTTTTGCATCCCCAGTTGCCACTGGAAGTGTGCTTCTTGACAATCCATTTCTAGTGATCTTTGAGCCTGATTGTCACGTAATATCTGCTGAGCTGTTGAAAGGTTCCTTTCTAGTTCATTCTTTTCCTGGTCTCTTCTTGTCAGCTGTTCTTCTAGCTCGCCAACCTCGCTATTCATCCCTTCCTTCTCTTGCAACTGATTAACTTCTTCCGTGAGCTGTTCCTGCTCGGTCTGGTTCTTTTCTTCTCTCGACCTTCGTTCCATTTCCTCAAAGTGTTCTCGTAAAGTTTCATCTCCCTCAGCTTTCTCCCCCAGTTGTCGCTTTTGTGCTTCTTGACAATCCATTTCTAGTGATCTTTGAGCCTGATTGTCACGTAATATCTGCTGAGCTGTTGAAAGGTTCCTTTCTAGTTCATTCTTTTCCTGGTCTCTTCTTGCCAGCTGTTCTTCTAGCTCGCCAACCTCGCTATTCATCCCTTCCTTCTCTTGCAACTGATTAACTTCTTCCGTGAGCTGTTCCTGCTCGGTCTGGTTCTCTAACGAAAAAAATCGACAGAGTTTCTTTTACTTCTGTAATACGAGTGCAAAGTTGTGACAAGAGTGCGAATTACAACAAGAAGCAAGTTATTCCTATTTTAGCTCGTGCCGTGCTGCTCACTAGTTTACCATTTTTGAAAAAAGTTCCACATAGTAGAGACACGAGTTGTTTATCAGGCGTACTTTCCTCTAACGAAAAGGTATAGTTTACGACAGTAAGATAACGGAAATCTCTCGCACGTTTAGTTCGTGTTACAAGCTAAAGAGAGCAGACCGGAAAAGTAGAAAAGAGTGGAGGTCTTCATTGGAAAAAAAATTACACTTAACCGCTAGTGATTTGACCACTTCATTCTTCAAAAGAGAAGGTAATGATCAGTAAGATCGTTGGAAGAGTGGAATTCCCTCAACTTATCAGTCGTTGTCAGTCAATAACAAATTTACTTCCTCATGAACACACCATGGTAGCTTTAAAATAAAAATATAAAGTTGGGACCAGTACATACGAGTTATTTCAAAACTCTTCCTTTTGTGGAACAGTCTTCTTACAGTAATTATAATCATTCAACAAAATCAATGGTCTGCAGTCAGTACCATTTGATGAATTGCTGAGAACCTGCTTCTTTGCTGATCCAGTCCTTCGTCTAAGATTTACTGATTCCACCAAAAGTACAGTAATGGCATCGATTATGATCTTTGCCTGAAAGAACTAATAACACATGCTTAGAATAATTAATACTTGCAAGTGCTTATGAGAAATAATTGATATTAAATATTTTGAAAATTTTTATTTGCATGTATAAATTGGAGACTAAAACTTTGCAGCTGAGTCTTGCAAGCCTTCAAATCAAAGTGCACTATTGTAAAGTAGATTTAAGGTATTTTTTCCACTTGAACAAGATACAATTTGCATAGCTCCCTGACAAAAATGTTCCTCCTCAATGATTTCTTTCAACAGGAAATGCTACTCTCATAGAGGCACAAAAACACACACAATAAATTAACTGAAACAGGAAATTTTTGGGGAGCTCAATTTTTAAAACATTTTTTTGCTAACTCAGAAATTCCCTTGAATGGTTAAAAAATTGAATCCAAATGTCATACAGAAAAGAGAATGTAGGAAAAGGAGATCAGTTCATTTTTGGATGACTCAGGATTAATTTGTATGTCCATTTATATTGCCTTAATTTGATATGAAATACATTCTCTTGTGTACCTCTTTGAACAGTAGAAAGTAGACTTGCATACCTTTTCCTTATAAAGGGTGATGACATATATATGTATAACTGAAACCAACTATTAGCTACTGGTTATAAGACAAGTTTGCTGTCAAGCCCATGGCACTTGCTTCTGGAGCTTGATCCATGGCCAGATGCTCATTCCACTTTCATGAGCATATGACATAACCAGGGGCACTGCATGCATCCTTACCCTGTTTGAATGTGAATTCAACCAGGGTAAGGATTAACGCTAAGTTTATTCTTTAGCAGTTTTCTAATAGCTCCATATGTTCCTTAACAGAGAGAGGTATTGCGAGTGTGAGACATCAGATCCCATTAGTAACAAAACATGGCAAACAAGACATGTCTCAAACCAAGACCATGCATCATGTCTCCTACAATTAGCAATTTAGCATTTCCTGTATTTCATTTAACAAAGCAAATAATTTCTTTAGTTCCTCTTACATTTTCTGACTTCAGGGCATACAATTTATATCCAGTGGAACAATCAGGCTGACTGTAAACATAACCAAATATTTTCTTATCATCTGTGTCAGGAGTCACAAATAATATTCTCTTGACAGGGTGCGTATGCTGCACTTTCTAAACAAAATAAATAAATCAGTAAAACCTATAAGAACACAAAAAAAGTACCGAGATGGAAGGGGCACCTGGAGATTTTATTTTATCTTTCCCTTCTGCTGTTCACCCCCTCCTTTATTCACTACTCTCTAGCTATTTTTGACTTGAGTGGATAAATGAATAAATAAGTAAATGAATGGATAAGTCAATGGGTAAATTGATAAAGAAAATGTAATGTAACATGTAACAAAACATTTGAACCATATATTGCCCCTTGAAAATATTCTTTAGTGATTAGATGGAAAAAATGAAAAAAATATTTAGATGGCATTTAAGAGTTAACTTATCTCTTAATTTTTTTTGATAAAAAAATATAGTGTATAAGATGTATAGATAGAAATATACTGCATAGTTTTACTTGGCATTCTGATTTCCTAATCTTCTGAAAAAAAAATCTTTTTTCCAATATCTGAGTTGCACACTTACTTGAGTAGTCTCATCTTCTATCCTGATACCTTCCAAACTAATAGTCAGTGTCACCCTCTCCTTGCGCCGCCACTTTTTCTTTGCCTGAGCCCAGTTTAAATATTAAAAATAATAATAATTATAATAATAATAATAATAATAATAATAATAATAATAATGAAAACCACACACATTATTACTTGCTGGCATTCCAGGACTGAGAAGATTATTATGTTACCAGAGGGAAAAGTGAAAAGATATTGCAGTGCATTGGGGTAAGGCAGTAGAGAAGAGGCTTGGTACCAAATTGGGCTGAATGAATGGCAGTTTATGACAAGCTTTCATGATCAACTATAGGCAGTATCAATTTGTCATATTGGCAGACTTGCCTGTGGTAAGTACACTGAGAAGTTTTTAGTACTTACTGGTAGGTTATAATAATGCAACTCAGGCAGTTTTATGTTGGCATGTTTAAGGAATAACACAGCCTATAATTGTCATGTTTTAGGATATAACACCACTTATAATTGCCATTGTGGCAAAAAATCAATTTGAGCTTTGATTCATGATCAAGTTCATGAATTAACATGACTCATGAACCGGTACACTGCACCTTTAATTTCCCAAAAGCTTCAGCACACATATCTACACCCTCTGGGCTAATGACATCTGTTATCCCCACAAGCTTTGAATTAAAAGTAAAGAAAACAGTGTCAAAACTATTTCAAAAAATTAAGGAAAAGGGGGAATTAGACTCATAAATTGACGAAATCAGACCTTGCACTGAAATTTGGTTCCTTCTCCACTGGTTCCCATTTCCTTGATAACAAGAAATGAAAAAAAATAATTCAAATTTATCACCAGAAGCATCAATATGTGTAAACTTTAATTGTAATCCAATGCACAACAAGAAAAGTAAGAACGCCTTGGATTAATGCCATTAAGCACAAACTAAGTTAATTAGCCTTTAAGTTGTGTGCAAATTGTCTCACACACAACCATGAACCCATCATGGTCTTTAGACATAAGACTGCCTTAAAGTTTTACGGGAAATGGGTATACAGTTAGTCTAATACAAGGTACTGTATTTGAGTTTCAGTTTTATTCAATCAGTAATATTAAATCCCTATCCCTTAAGCAACAGTTTTACCTTATCCCTTTAACCAAGTCAACAAGTGAAATACCCAACCATGTCTCAGGTTTTCCCTCTAGATTTCCAAGAACTTGTTTCCAATTTCCACTATGATTAATCATAGTATCGATGATAGTCATGATACTTTTTCCTCTGTTAAACGTTTAATCAGAGCATAGCTACAAAACTAAGGACATCAACTTGGAAGAGATATTTTTACTTGTACTGCCCCATGAAATGGACAGGACAAGTAGTGTCATCATTCAGACACAAAGAGACTCTCTCTCTTTCATTGCCAAAGGCTATCTGAACTTTATTAACAGACACGTTACACACACTGGGAAGGAAAATGCCAGTTACTCGAGGCATCGTAACACGAGTTTCATTGAGCGAGTAATGAAACAAATACTCACTAATATGCTTCTCAATTTATTTACTGCAATCGGCGCTCCCTTATATGTTTATGCAGCGGAATGTAAACAATTTGGTGTTTGAATCGCAGGTGATGATTTCTTCGAAACTGCAAACCTACCTCAACCATCTTCGGTGAGTTTCAGAAAGAAAATATACTTTTTAAGAATGTGAATAGTGTTCTGTTAATATTAATTGCAATCGGCGCCTGCTTCAGTGTTCACGCACCGGAATGTAACAGTTTCATTGAACGCGCCGGCAAGTCTCAAACAAACTTGAACTACATCTATCCTGTAGTTAATTTTTCCACTCCATTTTTTCGAGCAATTTGGTGAACATTGATCGATGATTCGACAAATATCGGAACAAAAAGCGAATCCGGTTTCTCATAAAAAATATGGACACGAGTCAGAGCAAGACGTAGTCGTGACAGGTAATCATTATACTGTAACACAACACTATTAAAATAAGCGAGTAGCACTTATCAGTTTTTGTATGAATGGCGAGATGAATGAACCAGTTTGTGAGAACAGTATGTTCACCGATGATAAAAGCTATGAAATAAGCATTCGTGCGTGGGTTTGCATTCAGAACGCGACAACTTGTTACAAATGGGCGCCTTAGCTGATTCTACCGAATTACAATACACTGAGGATAGATTTATTTTGAACAGATTCCCAAGCCGTTGCGACGGATGTTTCTATATACGAAGTGAGAAATAGCTTGACAAATGAATTCCGTTGGAAAATGATAAGTCATTCATTTATTCCGATTACGAAGTCGCATTGGTAATAGCATTTTGGGAAGGTCGGTTCGAACGGCAATTGCAACGAACAAGTTTGCTTGTCGTTGGTAGCCGTGTAGTATTTTAGTGATATGGAATTGTAGCTTATTCTTTAAAACAATAAATCGCCAACAATAGAAAGACAAAAGGACTACCTCATACATATTAATGAGGCCGATGTATCAAAGTCGTGCGCGCACGTGCGATTTTTTGACGCGCACGATTTTTGTTATTCGCAATTGCATGCGATTTTTGGCGCGTTTAATTCGCGTTTTTCGGTTAACGTATTCGTGAGCTGTACTGCACCTTGCTTTCTGGTTGGTGCACAGTGGTGCTCTCTCGCTCCAAGTAGAAGCCATTCGTTTCACTGTAGTTAAGAACTGTTTATTTATAAATAAACTCACTTAAAAAC